CAATCCTTTTACTGCTCATTGGGAAGCTGCTATCTCCATTCTTCGATATCTTAAGGGTACAACTGATCTTGGCCTAGTTCTCAGCTCATCTCCCAACAGTGCTCTCTCTGTCTTCTGTGATGCTGATTGGGCCACATGCAAGGATACAAGACGCTCTATTACTGGTTACTGTGTTTTCTTGGGTGACAGTCTCATCTCTTGGAAGAGTAAGAAGCAGGTCACTGTTGCTCGTTCCTCAGCCGAGGCAGAATATAGAGCTATGGGGACAACTGTGTGTGAGTTACAGTGGATTTTTTGCCTGGCTAAGGAATTTCAGTTGCAGCCCACCTTACCTATCAATCTTTGGTGTGACAATCGTGCTGCATTGCACATCACGGCCAATCCCGTCTTCCATGAGCGCACCAAACACCTCGAGATTGATTGTCACATCGTGCGTGACAAGTACAAGGCTGGCTTCATCATGCCTTCATATGTTCCCTCTACTGCTCAGATTGCAGATTTCTTCACCAAATTGCTTCCTCTTCCAATGTTTCGTCGATGGTTGTGCAAGTTGGGTGTGTCACGCTCTTCCCCACTCCAACTTGAGGAGGGGGTGTAGAAGATCAAGTTCAAATGTGTGTGCAGAAGCCGTGCAGTTATAACTGGCCTTCATTTGATTTTTCCTTTTCTCTTATAAAACTCGTGTTCACGTTTTATTTTTGGTTTACCGTTTTATTGAGGAGACGACATCGTTTTGCAGTGCTTGTGATAAACTACGAATGCGACGTCGTTTTGCTACTATGCATGTAAATAAAAGGCCGAACTTTGTATTCTCTGCACATATGAAATGAAACATTTTCGATCTTCGATATTTTAGCTCTGAGTTTTTACAGTTTTGGTGAAAAATAGATAACTTGCCAACCTTAGTTACATCGTGCTGTTATATGCCATGTGGCATTAATTCTTAACTTCTTTCGCTTTATGCTTTTTTTCTTGCATATGTTTGCATCATTCATGGACGATTTACTTTTTAATTAAAATTCATAAACTTGTAGGCATACCCTCGGATAGAGATTCCATGGCCAAAACATCCTCATCTGGCGGTAGGGCCCACCTCAGGAAAGAGTTTCTTAATAGATTTGTAGACGGCGAAAGCTTTAGAGAAACTCTCACGAGCTGGCTCGAGGATTTAGTCGAACACAATGCGGGGGGGGCCACCTTCGACTCTCCTTTCGAGAGGATCGGCCTTCAGAAGTTCGACTATGCGCTCGAAGGCGTTCGATTCAGCAGCTGGTTCGTATGCCGAGCTCTATTTACGATCCGACATCTGGCGCGGAAGTGGAAGGAGGGAATGCCTTTCTTGCGCTCGAAGATTTTATGCATGCAAGTGCCAGTAGCATGTGGGAGGCTTTCTGGGGAGAAGGTCACAATGCAATGCCTTTTTATGTATCGTCATTGTACGACCGGAACTTGAAGTTCTACCCGGCCGAGAAGGTCCTTGCCAAGGGTAAAACGGGAAGACTATGCGCCTCGGCCATAATGCTGAAAAATCCGAGACATCCGCAAGGAAAGTGGGATGATGTTGTTGAGTTGGCACTTTTAAGGCCCTGTTACGACTATAATGATTCTTATCCAAATTTGTCTCTCGTAAGCGAGGCTCTGTTTTTCGCCATCCGAGTGATGATCGCGAGGAGTGTGAGCAAATCGAGTGTGCGTACGAGTTTGAATTACGTTTTTGTCCTAGTGCTCAATTCTCAGTGTGGTAGTGTTGTGAGAGTCGAAGGCGATCTGAATAAGATGGATTTCGATCTGAACACTAATAATGTATACAAATATGCTGCTTCTTGGTTTCAGAACTATTCGCGCATTGCTATTTCCCCAGTGGAGAGGATTTGGAATAAGCTCGGGAATGCAAACTGGGGTGACGTTGGTGCTCGACAGGCTCTTTACGCTACATTTCATTCGATAGCGCAATTTGCCGGGATGCCTCGGAACACAATCGAAGATTTAGCCGCCGTACACGGCTCCCGCCTTCAGGCAAGAAAAGTCGAGCGAAATTTAACGGATAAAAACAGTAGTAGTTATGATCATAATAATGATAATACGAAGATGAATATGTTCCAACACCGCACTGCTTCCCCAGAAATTGTGGAACTACACGAGGAATCTATTAAATTGGATTGTTCTCGAAAGACGGTCAAGCTAGAAGTCGGTGATGTCGTTCTTCTAGAAGATTCCGACTCGCAAAACGGTTATCTGGTGAATAAGGTCATGAGCGACGGCGAGATTCCTTATTACATCTCGTCCCGTGTAGAAAACCCGGGAGAGGATTTGTTTCTCTATGCGAGCCCCACCCGACACAGATGGAGCCCGCATGGGAGGACATGAAGCTTTGGCACCAAGTTCAGAGGCAGACAAAAGTGCTGTGTGTGATGAGAGAAAAAGGCGTTTCGAGCAAATATCTTCCCGAGATAATCGCGTCTGGTCGAGCAGTTCATCGAAAATCATCGAGCTCAGGCTGTGATCATCCGTGGTGCGGTACACCTGTCTTGGTGACTCGGCCAGTTGGAATGAACATAGTTGACCTGGTCAAAGCTGGCCGGTTTACCCCGGACGAGGCTATAAGGTGCTGTCACGATTGTTTATCCGCGTTATCATCGGCTAGTGGCTCTGCTGGGGTTCGGCACGGGGACATAAGACCTGAAAATATCGTACGTGTGAAAAGATCGGAGTTGAAGGGATCGTGTTATTATTATGTGCTGATCGGGTGGGGCCACGCGATTCTTGAAGAGAGGGATCGACCGGCGATGAATCTTCATTTCTCGTCGAGTTCTGCTCTTCAGGAAGGGAAATTATGCTCCGCATCAGATGCGGAGAGCCTTGTGTACACCCTATATTTCTCGTCGGGTGGGGATTTGCCTGAGTTGGACTCGGTCGAGGGGGCTTTGATTTGGAGGGAAAATTTGTGGTCGAGGAGGTTGATTCAGCAGAAGCTGGGTGATATATCTGCCGTGCTGAAAGCTTTTGCCGATTATGTTGATAGTCTATGTGGGACACCTTATGCAGTCGATTATGAGATTTGGCTGAGGAGGCTGAGGCTACATGTTAATGAAGAGGAATAGAGTTTTGTGCTGTGATGGTAGGGTTTTTTTTTGTACATTTTGGAGTGGGCGATCGATCGAAACTCAAAAAGTTCGGTGTTTTTTTTTTTTGAATTTCGTATTTTTGCCTTTTCGTTTTCGGTGAAATGGAGAAAGAGCAGGAAAAATGTGGACTTTTGTACAATGGGAAGAATATGGAGATTTGATTTTAGTGTTTTGGTTTGTAAAGAGTGTCTCTTGTGGTGTATTTTGGGTCTATACTTGTTTTGTAAAGGTTAAGGTGAAGAATGTTCAAATGTGTGATAAATGTTTGTGTTCTTTTTCAATGATGAGATGGCATTGGCATTTGTTCATTAGTTAACTTCTCCCATTTGTATGGATTGTAAATTAAGGTACAAAGATTGTTAGCATGCATAAAGAGAGAAGATAGAAAATTGGGGCAAGAGTAAAAAGTGTTCAACATGGTTTTAAGGCAGAAATAAGTTCTTACATGTCAGAAAAACACAAAACAAATCTGAATCGATTGTACTCTGTTCAAATTCAAACTTCATTTCATATCAAGTTACTCAATAGCAGACCGACTGTATAAGTAACACGATTGCTTTCGAGAAAAAAGTTACACGAGAGGAAAGTAAAATGAAAAAATAAAGTTCAGAGCCGATTAATCTGCATCCATTTCTTCGAGTGCAGCCTTAGCGGCTGTCTTAGCTTCCTCTAACAGATCATCTGGGACCTGTTCAGATGGGCGATTTATGACGAGAAGACAAAGGATTCAAATGCAAAGTTGAAATATTGAGAGAAATGTACGTAAAAAAAAGGTAGAAAACCATGATCTGAAAGAAATTATGGAATACGAATGCAAATTTTGTTGAAGTACCTTCTGATGCTGACGGTTGGACTCGTCACAAATCCAACTCATTTCCAGTTCAAATGCCTTGTCCTTTGCTTCATCATGTACCCCATAAATACTGCATACAGAAATGCAAGTGTACCAATGGCTTAAAGTCAATTCAAGTGGAAATAATGGAGCAAAACACAAATGACAAAAAAAGAAGAAAAAAGAAAAAGGAAAATGAAAAAGAGAAAGAAAATGGAATCTGTGCACGTCCAGCAAAAATAGTTGGCAAATATATAAAACTTGAAAATTTTATGTTAATCTATATGCTTAACAAATATTTGAAAACCACAAACAGCATGCTTTTGAGGAGAATAGATCGTTCCAGTTAATGTACTTTGATTTTATATCATTTTGGAGGGGTTGAATTGTAGCTGAACTAATTGTTTAAAGAACAAAAAGAGCGGTGTCCTATTTTGAAACTTTTGGTAAGTACTGAAATCACCCAATAAGCAACTGTTACGCAA